CTGCTCTATTCCCAAGGGTTGGCCATATTTCCAAGCATAGTTTACACAATAATACGTTCCGTCATTTTTGATAATATTATTCTGGGATTTTTTTTTTTTTTTTTTTTTTTTTTTTTTTTTTTTTTGTCTTTTCTTCTTTTGGTCGACATTTGTAGTAGTTGCATTTTGGCGATGATGGTTGAGAATTAGTCACCAACATTTATATCATGATAACGGTTATGTTCGAAGGCAGTGACATACCATCTCTCTCTCTCTCTCTCTCTCTCTCTCTCTCTCTCTCTCTCTTCTCTCTCTTTCTTTTTTTTTTTTTTTTTTTTTTTTTTTTTTTTTTTTTTTTTATACCAGGGAATTTATGTTATTCCCTTTATCTATCAGGTTAAAGAAGTGTCGCTATAACATCTTCTATTCTAAAACCTGTCAGAATTTCCGTAAGAACTTTTATGATAGAATTCTATTTACAAAACATTTGAAAGTCTGGATAGAACATGTAAATGGAATATCATTTTCGCTGTTTATATCATTCCACAAATTTACATATCTACAAATAAAATGTCTCTGGAAATGAGACGTGCTCGCCGTGGGCGGGCTGAGGGCAGCTGGGTTCTGGTGCGTTGCCCTTGTCCGACGGGCGCTTCGTCGTGGCTGCTGTTTGAGTGGCGCCAGATGAGGGACGTCTAAGTGCTGGGCCTTGTACAGGACCGTAAGTCCTGCTACATCTCTCCGACGCTGAAGATCGTCAACATTTATGTCAGCTTCATTAGCAGTTCTACCGATGAGTGTGACAGCTCTGTCTTGAATTTTGTCCAGGAGACTGAGATGCGTTTGAGCTGCTCCGTTCCATGCCAGGGAGGAATATTCCAGTGCTGAACGAACTTGTGATTTGTAGAGCTGTAGAGCACCTTCTGGAGATAGGAGATGGAGAATCCTTCTGAGTGCGTTCAGCTTCTGTGTGGCTTTGCGAGCCAGGCTTTCGATGTGTTGGCCAAAATTCAATTTAAAATCGAAAGTAACTCCAAGTATATTGATGGAATCTTGCTCTTGTAAAAGGCGTTCTTGCATGAAGAGAGCCTTGTTTCTTGTGATGCGGTCCCTGCTTCTTGATATAATGAGGGACTGGCTTTTCTCAGCAGCAAAGTTTATCTTCCAACAGGAACCCCAGTTTGATACAATATCAATAATTCCCTGGAGTCTTGAGCTGCTTGTGTTGGCGTTGCCTTTGGAGAAGCTCAGGTGAATAGTGAGGTCATCTGCATACGCCACTGCTTCTGGGATTTGTTGGAGTAGATCATCGAAAAAGATGTTCCACATTAATGGTCCTAAGAGGCTGCCTTGTGGGACACCTGCTTTGATTGGGTATCTTCCCGATTCTTCGCCTCCTACAACCACAGTGATGCTTCTATCACTGAGGTAGTCCTTTAGTAGTGCCAGAAAGTTTCCCTCTATCCCTAGGCTC